CTCTCTCTCTCTCTCTCTCTCTCTCTCTCTCTCTCTCTCTCTCTCTCTCTCTCTCTCTCTCTCTCTCTCTCTCTCTCTCTCTCTCTCCATACACTGAACACACGCATACAAAGACACATACAAACACAAATTATTCTGAAGTTGGACAACTGCAATCCTAACCCATAAAGTTGTGAGTGTGGGTCTTACACCCTCAGGCAGGTATGACTGCAGAGTCGTGTGTAGACCATTTGTCCTAAATACCCTGGGAGCCCTCTGAACAATATCCCCTCCTCCCACCGGTAGCAGGTATATGACCTTCTTCCCCTCCCCCCACCTTTTTAGCAGGTACATGGCCTAATCCATTGGGAATTGGATCCTTCAACTTATTATCACTATTTTTAGAAAGACTATCTTTGTTTCTCATCGCCGCCTTCCTTCGTAAGTTCCTACTGATGCCGGAATTTGATCCTGGTGGTGAATGTGTAGAGGAGAGTGCAGTATTCCCCCAACCCAACCCAGCTTGCACATCAAGACTGATTGAAAGAGGATGGATGACACATATGTATATCATATAGAACGAGAAAAGCAAACCTCATTCTGCGAAACTCTGCACGCGCCTCCGAAGATCCTGTAGCTGTGAGTCGAGATTCTCCAGTCTAGCAGTAAGGTCTGTGACACGGCTTTGATCTGCTTCCACTGCCGCCCTGTAAGGCGCTACCACCACCTCCACTGCATCCTTCAGCCTCTTCATTTCTCTGTTCATCTCTTCTTGCATTGCTTGGTCAAGCTGCCTTGCAAGTGCTAATGCCGCGCGACGTATTTTCCCCTTCACCTCTGACCTCTTCAGTGGTAGGTTCAGTAAGCTTATGTACCTGTGCCATGGTAACGCAATTCAGATTTCAAAACCAAATCATCACAACACTTTGGCTGTAAAAGATCTCTGTCGTAGTCATGGTCATCCTCATCATTCCTGCTGTTGTTGGCGCTTGTTCCCATTGTCGTTCCTGTTTCTCTGTTTGTTGTTGTTGTTGTTGTTGTTGTTCTTGGCCTTGTTGATTGATGTTGCTGTTGTTGGTGTTGGCATTGTTATTGGATGTTGTTGCCATTGTTGTTGTGGTCATTTGCAGGTCTGGGCCGGTTCAGGGGGCTCAACAGGAAAAGCGGTTGAGACCAACTCAAAAGCGGTCCGAATGTTTTATTATTATTGTTTTTGGATGCAGGATCCGACTGCGCTTACTCAGAGCTATCAGATTCCGCGCCAAAAAAAAAAAAAAAGAATCACAGCAGAGAGGGATGAGGAGGAGGAGGAGGAGAAATAATAATAATAGTAATAATAATAATAATAATAAGAATAATAATAACAACAACAATAATAATAATAATAAATTAATAATAATAATTAGAATAAGAATAAGAATAAGAATAATAATAAGAAGAAGAACAACAACAACAAGACAAATAAGATGAAGAAGACGAAGACGAAGACGAAGACAAGACGAAGAAGAAGAAGAAAAAGTAGAAGAAGAAGAATTGAATTGAACTGGATTCAGGAGCTGATGCCAAGAACCGAAGAAGAAGAAGAAGAAGAAGAAGAAGAAGAAGAAGAAGAAGAAGAAGAAGAAGAAGAAGAAGAAGAAGAAGAAGAATTGAAATGAACTGGATCCAAGAGCTGATGCCAAGAACTAAACTCGCGACCTCCTATGGGAGTTAGACGCTCATTGAACCAGCTAAGTTCACTGGGCTGAAAGTTAAGTCCCAAGAGAAGTACTTAACCGCATCGCATCATGGATTTCTCTACGTCCTGGCCTACACAGTCACACTCGCACGGGACCACACAGGCCATCAACCCAGCCACCAGACAATGTACGGCCTCACTGCTGGTTGCTGCGCAAGTAAGAATTGAGCCGATCCCAAGAATCAAACAGGTGAATCCCACATCGGAGTTAGACGCTCAACCAAACGGCTAAGCTGGGTAGGGTGAAAGTTAAGCCACAACAACAACAACGACGACAACGATGACAACGACGACCACGACAACAACAACAACGACAACAACAACAACAACAACAACAACAACAACAACAACGACAACGACAACGACCATTGCCACTGCGACAACGACCACGACCACGACCACCAGTGCCACCACAACAACACCCGTGATTACCACGACAACGAAACAACAACAACAACAACAACAACAACAACAACAACAACAACAAC